TCCGTGACCACGGAAGGCCCCGAGCCTGCCCGGCCCCCCGAGGAGCTGGCTGTGATGACAGCTCACCCCCCAAGAATTCCAGGACCCTCGCGCTGGCATGCTCACGGGGTCTCTTCCTTCCACGTGGACACCTCGAAGCAGCGTGATGTACTTTCTTCTACAAAACTGGCAGCTAAGAGTGGAGTTTCCAGCAAAGGCCGTTCCCACCGCTCCTGTATCTTGTTGCCGGTAAAGAGATGGAGGAGGAGTCGGTGACGCTCCGTCGCCTCGGCTGGGGCGGCTCAGGCAGCAGCAGAGCCGTGGACCCCGCACAGCTGTCTGTCACGTGGGCTCCGTCGTGTCCACGTGGGTGTCCAGCGTCGCCGAGGTTTTCAGGGTCGTCCTGCAGGGCAGCCGAAGGCTCCGGCGTGTGCCCTGGGCCACCCGTGGTGTCAGCGTCCTGGGTGGCCGTGACAAAGCCCCACAAACGGTGTGAAGATGGGAAGCCCTGTCCAGGCCTGGGTGGGGCCCCTTGGAGGCTGGGGCAGGTCCCCCTTGTCTCTTGTCTTCGGTGGCTCCCAGAGTTCGGGGCTCGTGGCCGCATTGGGCCGGTCGGCCTCCATCGCCATCTGGCCACCGCCCTGTGTCTGCCTCCTCGGCCGTCCCCGTGGAAGGACACTCTGTGGGCGCAGGGCCCCCCAATCCAGGAGGAGACCCTCAACTATTTACAAAGACTCGGAGCCGTGTGGCCGGCCACCCCTCCCCGCCAGGTCCTCCGTGGAGGGAGTGACGTTTCGTGGGCAGATGCTCTGAGGGTCCCGGGTTCTGGAACGCGCCCGGTCGGCAGGAAGCGCCGGGTGGAACGTCAGCCGCAGCCCACCCTGTGCCGGGGAGTTGTCCCGATGTCCAGGCCAGTGCCCGTGATGCTGAGGGCACGCGCCCCATTCCATCCGCGCCAGGCACGTGACACCGGCCGCAGTGTCGCCGGCACAGAGAGGCGGCCACTGGAGGGTGGCTGCCAGGATAGTGTGGAAGGGGGTGGCTTCTCGGCAGAGCCAGGAAACACCCTCACCTGGGCCTGTCCCGGCCACCACCCAGGGGGGGCCCTTGGACAGCCCCCGCCCTGTGCCTCAGTTTCCCTGTTTGTATACTAGACCCACCTCACCCACCCATCAATACATGCAAGGTGCTCACGCCTGCTAGATGCTCTGTTACTCGAGTGCCGGACACCTGCTGGGCGCTCTGTTACTCGAGTGCCGGACACCTGCTGGGCACTCTGTTACTCGAGTGCCTGACACCTGCTGGGCGCTCTGATACTCGAGTACCGGACACCTGCTGGGCGCTCTGTTACTCGAGTGCCGGACACCTGCTGGGCGCTCTGTTACTCGAGTACCGGCCACCTGCTGGGCGCTCTGTTACTCGAGTACCGGCCGCCTGCTGGGCGCTCTGTGGTCACTTTTTCCTGTTTCCATCCCAAGTCCCCCTGGCGGCATACGAGTGGCTGGTCTGCTACCTGCTCCGAGAGAGTCACCAGAAAATAACTCAGGAGAAGAGGTCCGGAAGCAGTGACTTTGAAGCGAGAAATAACTCCCAGGTGTGTGCGTCTTCCAAACGGCTTAGTTTATCACTCACCCTAACGCCTGTGCTGCCGGTCCCCACGGAGGGGCCAGCCCTCCAGCCCAGGCCCTCGGGCCGTTGCCTGGGTCTGCTGTGGGGATGGTGCCCCTGCTGGGCTGTGGAAGAGGCTGGGGCCTCGTGTTTAAAGTGCCCGCTGGTGCCGTCCGTTGGCCTGAGCTGGGGTTACTGAGGGGGCCCTTGGGTTGCATGGGCCTCAGACTCCTGGAGGGGCCGGGGTACAGCCGGGTCCCGACCTACGGAGCCACAGGTGGGGGCTCAGGTGAGGTCGCACTGCTGCTCGGCCATGATCACCCTCCCCCAGGCCTCGGTGGGCACGTCCAGGGCCTCACATTGGGCAGACTGTCCCGGGTCCCCATGTCCTGGGCAGCTGGCTGCAGGAGCCGTGCTGTGAGACAGCCGGGACACGGGGTCCGGCGGCTGTGATCTGTGCGGCCTCGCAGTGGGTGCGGCCTCTCCAAACAGCTCCAGGATGGCCGCTGTGACATGGCTGGTGGGTCAGGGAGGTCCCAGCCGGGGCTCACCAAGGGGTTGGGAGGTCCCAGCGGGGCTCACCGAGGGCCCGGGAGGT